ACAGTTCAGGCTAAGCAGGAAAAATCTTGGCCAGGGAAATAGAATTCTTCCGGGAGAACCAAGTTGCTCAAAGGCTATGCGGAAGCGTGAACAGCATATGTGAACTACGATAGACTTGCAGTGGCACAAATGTGTCACCCCGAGACAGGAGCATCAGCTTAACTATGGACTGAACTCGGAGTCCGCGGGGTGCACACTTCCAGAAGGGGTGAGAGTGGAGCAGTAAAACATTCATCCCAGATCCCCCTCTTTCGGAGGGCTAACAACCCCCCACCAATCGCAACCTAAACTTTAAGAACCAGCCAATGGAATGATACACACGTTAACTGGTCTCAGCCAATCATCACCTTCTGTGTACCTGCAATCTCTATAACCAGCCCTCTAAAATCTTCCCTCGCCACGCCCTCCCCCCGTCCCCGCCATCCCTTCCTACCCCCAACCCCCACCCAACCCTGGTCTGAGTTCGAACTCCTGCCCCCTCACCCCAAGGACCACTGGAATCGTCCCCGAGAGCATCCCTCTCTCCCTCTTCCGCGTCCGTCTGAATTAGAAATGTACCCCGAGGTAGAACTACATTGTATTTCAGGAGCAGCTGGGTCTCTGGCTTCCTTCAAGATTGTCATGCACCTGGTCGGCCGGGGCTGGGTGGAAGAGGAGTGGGGTAACGGGGGTGGGGGGGGAGAATTGGTGGGGAGATGGGGAGGAGAGGAGGCAGTGAAGGGGAGGGAACATTAAAGGTGGCTTTGAGGATGGAGAGACGAGCGTCTGTTAGTCGAAGCCGCTGGACCTCGCTGCTGCTGCAGATTTTTCTGAATAGACCAAGCTATCACCGTCTCTCTCTGTCATCAGAGAGTTAGAGACAGAGAGGTAGACATTATTACAGAGATAGAGAAAAAGGAAGGAAGGAAGGAAGGAAGGAAGGAAGGAAGGAAGGAAGGAAGGAGGGAAGGAAGGAGAAAAGGAAGAAGAAAAAAAGGGAAAAAGGAAACTTTCCATGTACTTAAAATTGCAAAATATAACCTGAACAGCTCCAAGGCCTGAGCTTAACGTGCAAAAAGTATGGTGAGGGACTATCTTTTCCTCCTGCTGTTTCTGAGAATTAAATATCTTCTAATGATGCTGACATATCACTTAGGACTAGGAGGAACAGTAACCAAGAATCCTTTGGCCAAAGGAGAAAGTTAATGTGATACAACTGTAAAGAGAAACTCTAGAGTATTTCATTTTTAAAATTGAATTGCAATACTATTTGTCAGGAAAGGGTTTTAGCTTTTTTTATGGGGGGGAAATTGAAACTGTCATTGAATTGATGGGTGGGAAGCTTCTAGAATTACTGTATCACAGCATAAATCAATGTGCCAAATTAACTTAGTTTTAAATCTTTTACTCCCTAGTATCATAAGTGTACAAGGGACCTTACAGGTCTAGTCCAACCACTTCCTTTCATAGATGAAAAAAATGAGGGTAAAAGAAGTTGAATGTCTTATTGGAGGTCACATAGATGGCAGAACTGGGATTTGAACCTAGATACTCCAGAATCCAAATCCAACACATTTACCATTGAAGTATCCTGAAACTTACCATTTCTCATTATTGAGAATAACACATTTACAAAACACTTTTCTCGCAAAAAACCTTGTGGAGTAAGTTATTGTGAATATTATAATACCCATGTTATGGATGCAAAAACTGAGTCTCAGAATGGTCAGTTGCAATGTCCATGCCCAGGTAATTAGTGTCAGAAAAAAAAGATATAAATGCATGATTCTGCCCTGTCTCCATCACACCGTGCTAACACAGAATATGAAGGAAAAAGTCTAAGAATCAGTAGCATTAATTAGCATTATGTTCTCATATTTGCATTAATTGATGTCCATGCCTGGTTGTGGCAGAAAAAGCTCTGATCCTAAAATGAAAGGATTTAGCTTCTAATTATTAAGGCTCTGTTTTGTGATCAACCAGCTTGATGACCTTGAACAAGTAGCTTAATCTATCATGAATTTCCTATTTCTAATCTTTTAAATGTAGAAGTTGGATTAGATGATAATGATAACAGCTATATTTGCAAGTTGGCAAAGCGTTGATGCATATATTATTTCATTTGATCCTCACAACTAATCTGTGAGGTAGGTAATATTATATCTCTCATTTTACTGCTGTAGAAACTGAGACAAGTTAAGTGGCTTGCCCAGAGTCACACAGCTCATAATTGTCTGAGCTAGAATTTGAACGTAAGTCTTTCTGATCTCAAGTCCAACACTTTGTCTACTATGTCACCCTAGATACCTCAGTGATCTTGAAGGTTCCTTTACTTTGGGGAAGGGACTAATGACAATGAAAGAAGACTAAAGAAAACTGCATCCATGTGAAAATCCTCAAAGGAAGACTAAAGTCACTTTGATCTGATAAACCAAACAATAATAAAATAGTTTTCTTTAAAATCTATATGTGGATAGAAAGAGTACATTGAACAACTATGCTATTAAAAGGTGACACATTTTATTTATATAACTCTATTTAAACTCTTTTCTCTATGGAGCTCTCTGCTTAAACTCATTTTGTTGGGTTTTTTTTAAAACTATATAGGGGATTTAGGGGGTTTGTTTTCTTTGTTTAACTGGAGAAGGGTGAGTCCATTTTAAACTGCATTCCTTCAGGGAAACTATTCCTAGATTATGAACTTAGAAGCTTTGTTCACACAAAATCACAGAAAATTTTTGCAATTAGCCATGTAATTTGGGGAGTAACAAGGAGATAATGAGAGAATATTTTTGTATTTAGGATTTCTCCCATAGGTTGAAATCACAGGATCATTTAATTGTCTATTTTGCTTGGTTTTTAAGTACCTTACATGAAAAGGGGGGAAAAAATTCTATTTCAAAAAGCTAAGTATTCTTTTTTTAAGTGGATTTGGTTTATAGGACTAAGCATTACAGATCTGATGTTCCAATGACAAATAGCCTTCTGGAAATTTTTTTTTAAACTAGACAAAAAGCATGTTTTTATTCTTTGAGCTTTCTTTCAAAATACAAAAATGTTCATGGGCACTTTGTATTGGCCCTGCATGTTATGAATCCCAAGAATAGAGCATTTTATCTCAAGGCAGGGCATTGTGACCCTTCCTGCAGAAAATAAGTCATTGATTTAGAGGTTCCACACTGGGCCTGCTGCTGTGATAGATCAGAAAGGACCTTTGCACCACCAGCCAATATCTACCAACAACAGGATCATAATCGGTATTCAAGAAAAACAGTTCTTTCAGAACCAAAGCTTCAGGCTAACTATCATGGAGCAAAAAATGATTACATCTCAGTGTGAAAGGTAATATGGAGTTTCCCGAAGAGCATGCAGCATTTGGGCTTATTCATTCAAAAAATAAAGTACAAATAAAAGATCTATCCCGATCCTATGAAAATCAGGAAAAGATCTCTTTCCCTTACCCATCAACTGAGTGAACTGATTCCTTTCTCACTTCCCTGTAGGTGACATAAATGGTCTAAGGTAGACTTTGTGGATGTAAACGTAGGATTTGTTTACCAGATCAGTTTTGTTCTTCCAAATCTTATCAGTGAATAATACTGAACTCCAACCCCAGTTTCACTCAACAAAACATTCCTTTTAGTAGTTCCTTTCATAATGACAAGTATTTGATTAGTGATTTTCATTGCCTCTATCTTAGAAATACCAATGTCAGCTCTTAACTACGATTCATCCTCCATCTGACAGAAAAAGTAATGTCTAAAAATGCTCAATAAGAAATATTTTCCTGGTGATGATTTATTCCTAGAGGTTGTCTCCTTCCTCTTTCAGTAAGTAGGGGGGAAAAAACTCTCAGAATGATTTAAATCGTTTTTGTGAAAATACTCCATTTTTGCCTGATATCTGAAAACACTTGTGGCATGCACAGGTGTCTTGAACCTTGCTTTTTAGAAAATTGATTTGATTATTTCTCAGCTACAATATTGAGAAGAGTGGACATATTTTTGACAACTATTTTGTTTCATTAAGTTCAAGTATTCTGAGATTCACTTCATTCCTAATTTTCTATGAAATTTTGTTTTCAAATTTTAAAAAGATTCTTTAAGATAGATGTCCTCTAAGTTAAGTGAAGTGAAAACAGCCAACAGTAGTTTGTCAGTAACTTTATTAAAAAAAAAAAAAAACGCATGACAAACTGGAACCAAGACCAAAATGCTGTATCCACTTTACATCATTCATTATAAAACAAACATACATCACATTTGTATTCTACCAAATAACATTTTCATTAAATTTATATATTGTGTGCTTTTAGTCATGCTTTTCATATTTATTTTACATTTGTTACTCAAATATTATTTTGTTATAAATAATTAGAACTTGGTCAAATCATATATCTGTTATGTAGATATATTCAGTGCTTCCATGTTTATTTTTAGACAGGAGTGAACACACAGGAAGTAGAAATAAAGTGTTTCGATGCCAGGTCTGCAGAATTGTGACTATCGTTTATTTCTGGAGAATGAGATGCTCATGTAAAATACACAGAAAATCAGTTGCTTCAAAAGGCACAATTTCCTCGACACAAAAGTACATTTTTTTTGCCCAGAAAAATATGTGGTAGTTAAAATATTGGCGGCAACGTGTCGGTGCGACATTGGGTTTAATTCGACTCCAGACCCTTGACAGGTGAATGCTTTGGCGGGCCAGGTAGGATGCCTTACCAGAGTATCTAAGGGGCAAAAGAGTGCGGGCAACGTGCCCCCTCTTCTTTGTCCCAACAGACTGGGATTGGATCTATTTTATGTCAGCTGGCCCCTACCTAACCTTTTGCCCTGGCACTTTGCGGAGAGCCAGAGAAACCTTTGCGCTGTTCCAAATCCTATGCAGGAAATTCAAGAAGGATTCTCCTCCTAGACCACATCTCTCTTCTACTGTGTGATTCCCTTTCCATCCAGGATGGGCCCCACACCTTCCCTTCCCTTGTTTCCTTTCTCCGAGCTGCCCTTTTGAAGAAGAGGTTACGAGTCTCGGTCCCTACTGCCCCCCGTTTCCTGATCGCTCTGATCGTCTGTGAAACAGACGTCCACGTCGCTGTCGTTGTCGCTCTTGGGGTCCCCAGGCTCTGGTGGGTAACCCTGGGCACAACCCTGCTCTTCACTCGTCTTGGCATGGACGCTCTGGCCGGGGTGGCGGGACTTGACGTGTCGCTCCAAGTCCCGGCGCCGGACCAGCACCTTGCCGCAGAACTCGCAGCGGTACGGGGTGTTACCTTCTGCGTGCAACCTGATGTGCTTGTTGAGGTTGCTGGGATCTCCAAAGGGCCGCAAGCACACTTTGCACTTTAGTGGCTTGTAGCCGGTGTGAGTCCGCATGTGGATCTTGAGCCCGTATTTGCGGGAGTATAACTTGCCGCAATACAAGCATAAATGGCCTGTCTTTGGCTTCCCGCCAACCCCGGGACCTCCACCCCCGCCATTGCCTCCTCCACCTCCCCCGCCTCCGCCGGGGACCCCGATGGGCTGCAGCGCCCCGTCCAGGCGGCCGCGGCTTTTCTCGGCGGCAATCTCAGACAGCTGCTGAGTGTGCATGGCAATCTCTCGGTCGATGCTGGCCAGAGAGCCCAGCTCGCTAGGATTCAGAGCCGCTGCCGCCGCAGCAGCCGCTGCCGCAGCAGCTGCAGCCGCCGCGGGTCCGCTGAAGTAAGACACCGACTCGGGGTACTTGAGCAGACTGCCGAAGTGCAGCTTGAGAGGGTAGTAGGCGGCAGCGGCCGCCGCGGCCGTAGGGGAGCCGTACAACAGCTCCCCGTTGTACACCGTGAAGGCCGGCATGACGGCTGGGAGGTGGCTGCATTCCCCAGGGTAGGACTTGAGGCCCCCAGCCTCAAAAGGAGGGAGCGAAAAGCGCTCCAGATGCAACCCCGCGGCCTGGGGTACCTGGGCGTAGCGGCCGCTGGGAAGCCCGCCAGCCGGCAGCGCCCGCTCCACGTGCTTGAACGCCGACGCCTCCTCCAGGTGGCCGGAGAAGAGCGGGAAGCCCCGAAGGGCCCCGGCGCAGGGCAGCACGGGAGGAGGGGGTGGCGGAGGCGGGGGAGGAGGAGGCTGCGGGGGGCCATCTCCCGCGTGCAAGCACTTGGCGTGGTGGTGGCTGTGGTGATGGTGGTGGTGGTGGTGACCTCCTCCGCCGCTCGCCACCAGGGGTTCATGTCCAGGACGGCCACCCAGCTTGACCCCGCCCAAGAGCTTGCCAAAACCCAGACCGCCTCCGGCCTTTCCAGCACCTGCCCCACTGTCCTCTCGGAAGGAGTCGCCGCCATGGGCCGCCGCCGAAGCAGCAGCCTTGGCCAGGCCCGTGGGCTTGAAGGCAGAGCGAGCACCCGGACAGAAAGCCAGGCCGCCCGACCCGGACGGGGAACCTCCTACCATGCCGAGAAAGTGGCCATGCCCCCTGCCTGGGCCCACGCTCATGTCCAGGGCGCGCTCCTGCTCCTCGCGGCCGAACACGCCCGCCTTCTTGGCCGAAGCCCCTAGCTTGCCAGGGAGCGGCGGCGAGGTGGACGACGACACCTCGCGCTTGATCCCCTCGCGCATCCCACAGGCCTGGTGGGGAGGTGGCGGCCCTTGCGGGTGGTTTCGCAGAGGGGCCGCGGGGGCAGCCACAGCGAGCTCAGGAGCTGTGGATTTGGGGGAAAGGCGGAAGCCGTCGAGGGCCGGGGCAGCCGCTGGACGGGCCACGTGCTCGTGGGGCAGGAAGGGGCGACCCCCGCCGCCTCTGAGCACACAGTGGAAATGCAGGTGAGCCTTGAGGCTGTTGGGGTACCGAAAAGTCCTCCAGCAATACCAACAGATGTAACGCTCCTCCCCTACGAGAGAAAGACAGGACAGCAGGTGAAAAGACTGGTTGATATGAGAGTCTGCAGAGGAGTGTGACACACTTTTTCTTTATTGATTTAGAGAGGATACTTAGATGGATCTCTCTGTCTTTAAATTACCGATGACTATTCGCCTGCCTGTCTGCAAGTTTCTCGTGTTCCCAGGAGAAATAAAGACCCGAGGAAACCTTAAATAATGTACTTCCCATCCTCTCATCTGAACTCCAGGGCCCTTCTATAGCCTTGGGGCGGTCGACCTGGCTTGGTACTGCTCACACCTCCTGGGAATCGATGAAGGGAACTGAGTAGACTGGACTGAACTGAGTAAGGTTGAGTATGGACTAGGGCAGTGCAGAGCTGATCCGGCTTGTGTGGGGAAGACCAGAACAGCTGTTCCCTTAAATCATGTGTCGAGGCTTGTGGTGTGCTCTGGCCCATCTGTTGACGTTTGCAGAATAGGTGGCGTATGTCAAGGAGTTTGGATAAACTGAACAAAGGCCAATCTAATGGTCGTGAGCTCCTCATTACCAGGCGAGACAATATCCTGTATGTATGGGCCATATGTAATCATTCCTTTTCATAGAACAATGTCTTTTGTGTTCACCACTCACCCATCCCTCTCCCTCCCAGCCTTAAAGACTTTGCCTGAGGTTTTCCTGGAGCGTGACAAACCGAAAGGACCACGTAGGGACTATGATTTGTTGTTCTTCAAAATTGTTCCTGGTTTGGTTTTTATTTTCTTCTCCTTTGCCCCCTTTTAATTTGATGGAAGAAAGATCTCAAACCAGACAGTCCAAAGATTTCACTGTCTTACTGTGTCTGCTTTCTTATATCTAAGTAACTCTCAGACACTTCAGCATTAACTACGAATCAGTAAAGGCTCAGGGAAAAGCTTTCTATATTATTCTAAAGAAAAATATTGTTGATCCTACTAAAGTATGCAGATATTTTACAAGTGAATTATTTTCTTATCAATATTATTGAAATTTTAATAGTATGTTTGAGCCACAGTACAAGTAATAAGTTGAAAAATCCAATAAAGTATAGTGTTCATGCCGCTCCCAATTTTTTTAAATAAAGTATCAAGTATTCAGGGATTGTTTCCCCCAAAGATGTCATTTTGTACTGTACTGAGCAAGGAAAACTATCTTTTGAATAGGCTCACTCGTTCTACTGACATAAGGATGAGGTGGATGAGCCTCCAGAAGAAGTTAGTGAAGAAAGAAATGAGCGTAACTTAAAGCAGGCTTAGCCACAAAAATGCTATTATTCCTACCTTACATTAAAAATCCAAAACTTCCTCAATATACATACATATTCATTCAGGGCATTCAGAATGTCACCCTCAAAGCAAATACTACTCCCAAAAACGTTTAAAGATACCATTTTCCCTTAAATGATAACCTTTCTGGCATAGGTATCACTGATTGAAACAGGTGCAGGGTCAGGGGTTATTCCTTCTGGATAGAAGAAATGAACCAACCTAAAATAGTTGTCCAAAAAACCCTTTGTTCTAGAGCAGCTCAGAGTAATCTTACTGACTTATATTCGGCACCAGGTAAAATAAGTGATATATATATATGTGTATCTATACATATATGTGTAGGTAGGTATATCAAAAAAATGGCTTGGGCTCTGTTAACCTAATGTTTTGATTTTAAATTGCCCTGACACCACCCCCATTCAGAACTTTTTTTTTAAGTGAGGATTTTTTTTAAGTCTTTCCTAAATAATTCAGCAAGAGTAAGAACCAAATTTAGCATTGTTTTCATGGTAAAGGGCCAAAATTACCCTGTCTCACTGTTATTTTGAATCCTGCCCAAGTTAACAAATACATAGGAATGACAGGTGCCCCTTCTGTAACCTACTCAGCCTTAAGTCAATATTTTATTTTCAGTTTTGAACATGGAAAATAACCTATATCTAATGCTGAAGTAGACTCCTCTACAGTTATCTCAAATGCCTAGAATTGTTTTCTAAGATCCTACACATGGGCAAAATATAATAAATGTACTTAATGTGTGATTTTTGTCTTGTTTTCTTTCTGAATCCCTCACACCGTAAAGGTTTCTTTAAAACATCTGGAAACTGGGGAAAAGTTGGTTAAGAATAACATAGGAATAAGTATCTAAGATTTTCAATTCCTCAAAAAGATTATTGAGAATTGTGACTGCTGTTTTCCCCCATTAGCAAATGCTCACTTAATCAGTGAAAAGAAATAGAAAACATTAAGACCATTATTCCAAAATTTGTTCCTGTGACCATTAGTTATACCTAAAAAGGGGTCTCAGGTTTTTAGATTCATGTGTCAGGAGAGTTTGTGTATATATATTTGAATGTACGTTTTTTTTCTTTTACCGAAAGTAGTTGATAAGATTTAGCTTGATGTGGTGCATAAAACAGGAGTTCTTAGAGTAATTTTATAGAGATGTTTGCATGTACACACACAGAGAAAAGTAAAAAACAAAATAAATGAAGTGAACAAGAACAGTATTAAGCAAGTTTAAGCAGAGCATTCAATGCACTTCATTCTGCTGCCTCATTTTCAAGACATAGTCCCAAAATTGTATTAATTTCTTCAAATCCTTAAGGTCTAGTTTCAGAAATGAGGTGACTGAGCCGATAGATTAAAAAGAAGTATAGCTGTGTATTCCGATTCAACAAAATCCCTTCTTTTACTTTTTGGTGTTCGTTTTTTATATTTCTGGTACTGATTTCAAATAGCCCGAAGCAACTGAAATATAAAGAAAATCGATGCAAGCTTGGTGTGTTGATGGTAGGGCCTAATGACTTAAAGAAGTCCTACTTCGCTCCACTCCTCAGCTCCTCCTTCCCGGGGGAAGTATTCTTCACTTTTCTTCCAGTGAAGTGAAAACGGTTTCATCTTTAGTTACTGCATCCTAATTTGCATAAATAGGCTGTTGGTTTTGGAAAGGATCAAATAAATCTAAGTAGAAACTGGGAAAAGTACCAAATTCAATTTAAATGGGGAGGGTGAGGAATGAATAAACACAATTTAAGTGTGGGGGAACTTGAAGGAGCCGCCAACTGGCCGGGTGAAAAGTACCGTAATGCTCCTAAAACGGAGTAAATCTCTATACTTAGGAAGTATATTTCCGTCAACTAGAAGGGTCTCTATTTTTATGTCATACTCATTATTTAAGGCCCAATTACTATGTCATATTTTCTTAATCTTGTTTTCTATTCTTGTTGGTAAGAGGAAGGGTCAAGAAGAGATCAAGAATAATCTTTCTCCAAAATGAATCCTTTAAATTATTAATAAAAATTTGCAGTCATAGAGCACTAAATTTGAAATTCGCATTAGAGATAAACCTAAGCCAACTTCCTCGCTTTAACAGCTGAGGAAACTGAGGCCTGGAAAGGCAAAATGGCTTCCACCAAATCTCACATCTAGGTATTGGCAGAAGCAGGACTTTCAGAACCTAGATCTCCTGACTCCCTATTTGAATTTGGGCAAGTGGTGCACTGTGGACAGTAATTTCTAGATGACAACTAAGCTCGCAATCCTTTACCGTCGGTGGAAGCTAGTAACATCTGCAGACAGCGACTTTAAAACTACTTTATGTTCAGAAAAGTTGTTGAAAACCTGTAAGATTTTTTCCCTCAACCTTAGAGGAAGTGCATGGGCCATAAACGGGCGACTATCCCCGGGTTTGACTATCCCAGGGTTATTTTCCGCCCCTTGCCCCCTCCCCCACCCAAGTAGATAGTACCTTTCTCATCGTGCGTAGGAGTAGCAGTAGTGGGGATGTCGAACCATTGAGCCAAGGAGTTCGAATACCACACAGTCAACTCCTCACCTGGCTGGACATCTCGCAGAGCCCTATAGAAGATCTGTTAGGGAAGAGATTTTAAACAGCGTCATTTTATCTGCAATTTATGAAAAACACAACAAAGGTGTAAAGTAGCTGCACTTTCAGAGAAAGCTTTCGGAGTAAGAGGGTTGGAGACAGTTTGTTTCAGGAGAGGAAATAGGTGAACCCAAATACCTGTCCTCCTGGTAAGTCCGCAATAGCTTCCAGAGTCTGTTCCTGGGTGTTCCTCGCGGCTCGAATTAACCCTATCCACTCTAGAGGGGATCCTCCAGATTCATCCACTAATTCTCCTCTCACCATTCGTACCTGCAAACAAGAAGCAATAGTAATTTCCCTTCACTATAAGACCCAAGCCAAAGAAGATGGAGGATCTTGCTTACATCCCACCTGCATTGCAAAAAAGTGAATGAGTTTTCTTAACCGTTTAACATGTAGGGGGCTTTTTTGGGGGGGGGGGTCATGGAAGAGTAGCAGGGAGAGGAGAAAGTGGTGTCGGAATTCTTAGGACATCTCCAACTGTGGGGAATGTAGCTGTTCATTTCAGCAGTTCCATTAAGGTTCTGCAGCAGGAGTAGAAACCCTGGATTCTCTGGAGAGTATGGGTTTTGTTTTTTTTTTTTGCACCTATTCCGACCTCCTCGCCCCCCAGTTTTGTTTAACTTTGAGTTTTGGACTACACTGGAAAAAGTTCTGTCTGTCTGAGCCAGAGCTCTTTCCGGTCCTAGGTTTCTCCTGTGGGGGAATGATGCTTCCTACAAACCCCTAAGTCTCCCACCTCATAATCTGCCTCGCTCCCACAAAGAGAAAAAGAGGTATCAGATCGTTTAAGGACCGTGCAATAAAAGTCATCCGAACAAAGCGGCCTAAGGAGAAAAACCAATAGCTCCAGATGAGAACTGAATTTGAGAAGCCTGGTAGAACGTTTAAAGGCAATTAAAAGGCATTTTCAAAGGAAAAGCATGGTGTGGATTCAGCTCTGTCTTTGCCTTGGGAGTGGAGAGTGTATATTTGAGACAGAAACTGAAGTACAATTGAGGGGATGAGATTATGGCAAGTCCTGAAGAAGAGGCACATTTAAATTGTTTCCCTCTCTTCCCAATTTTAATCTCTTTCAATTCCATCAAATTTCCTTTGGACCTTTCTAGACCCTTTCTCCTCTAGGATGACAGTTTATCCGTCCTTTTAGGTGTTCTCCAACATTAGACTCTGTATAGGTCAGGTGTGCCCTCGGAAAGTTTGAAGTGTTCTCCCAGATGCTAACGACCTTCCTATCCCTCTTGTGCCTGGGTGGGCTTGTCATCCACAATGCTCCATCACTAGGATATTAATCAGTTCCCTGGCCTCTGGACTGAACTCCAGAACTGACGCTTTCTCTAGAGCTGGGACTTCGATGGGAACCAATGACCCAACCCAAGACAGTTCACTGCTCACTCAAGCAGCATCTAGGACAAGACTTTGATGGACTGTGTAGTTTTGACCCTTGCAATGGTACTAGCGCTCTCTCGCTCTCTCTTCCCCCACCCCCATTCATTATCGTACTACCCTATACTGAAAATATTTTTTGTTATCTAATGAACTGGGGAAACGCGGTGCTACCTGAAATAATAATATAATTTTTTAAACTTCAAAATAGGAATTGTCTTTCACAATTACTACAAACCAATACATCCCTCAGCTCCAAAAGTTATAATGTACTTACTCCCCCTCACTACATCGACCTACTAGAGTTCAGGGAGGAGTAAAAGATGACAGGATTATTGTTTGCTGCCCCTGAGATCGGTCCCCACGCTGTCCTCGAGACTACCTCTCCCTCCCCTCCATCAGGGAACAGGGAGATTCATTCAAATAGCCACATGCCATCATCACCACCCCAAACCACAAGCCTGAGTGACCCACAAACTTCAGCACCCAGACAATCTGAAGAGGGAAGTTTGGGACCTGGGCTCGGAGAACACTCAATTTCTAAAAGAGTCAACTAAAATCCCAACTTTCTGCTTCTGCTCAGCCTTATCTCACCCCACTCTTACCCTACCACCCAACTCTCCACTCCGGCTTTCGTTTAATTAGATTGGTTTGAGAATAAGACTTTTCTAAAAGGCAGAGCAGACAGAGAAAGAATAAAGTCCCTTCTCTCTAGCTTTCCTCCCTTCCTCATCCCCGCCCCGGGATGGGAGAGCTGTGTGTAACTGGGAAAGGAGAAGGTTGTCGGAGCAGAGGCAGAAGAAGGGGGCAGAGAACAGAAAATACCTTTTTCTTGGGTCCTGGCTCTCTGCGGTCTGACAAGTATTTGCCCAGTTTGAAGATGCCGGGCACAGGACCCAAGCGCAGCCCGGCTGGGATGCAGCTCTCTGCGCTCACGCTGATGGCGGCAGTCCTGTTTGTGTGCATCGCTGCCTGTGGGTACAAGCAATCAGGAGCCCAAACTACTTAACAGGGTTGGAGTGACAGAGACAAGCCAGGGAGAAGGATGAACCCAGGCGTATCTCCGCCCGCAGAGTGACGCGGCTTGTGGATGCACGCCGGCTTTTCAATTGGACCAGGAGGGCTCCCCTTTTGGCACGCTGAGGCTCTAGGGCGCAGAGTTTGGTGAGAGAGTTGAGCTCTTAGAGCAGCTGCAGAGTTCCATCCAAGAGGGTCACATGGAGTCGTTCCCTCACCCCCCTGCATAATCAAGTCCTCTGAATGGCTAACAAACAATGGTCCAGGCGACCTTCCCATTCCTAAAAATCCAATTTGTCAAGGGCAAAGAAAAGGCGCTGGTGAATCAAAGGTCTGGCGGGACCATTAATCCTCAGCATGGGGTATTGTCCCCGAGACAGTTACGATATTTTAAGTGACAAATCCACTGTATAATTTCTCCATAAATTTTACTTCCTTTTATTGTTCCCCGACAAACCAGTTTTGGAAAATAAGTGACTACTTTAAGTCTACTTGGCTGATTCTTTTGAGGCTGAGTATACTTCAAAGATTTTTAATTCTCTTCCCTTGGCTTTATTGTAAAGGAGATTAAACAAAGAGATGGAGAATGTTTTGAGGACTTGTTAACTTCTATTGATTCCTGGCGTGTGCCATACAGAAATTGGGCAGGTACTTGATGGGAAAACACCAGAAAATACCTACACTTTTTAAATAACGACCATATTACCATTTCAGTGGATTGGTTTCAGGCCAGTAATCTATTTATAACTGCTTTATTCTTCCTTCTGCTCCCATTTCCCCCAAAATATGAAGTATTTGGAGGCCTTTTAAAACACAAGAGGTTAGCTATACATCATTGCACTTCTGAACGCAGAGGGTATGACTTTATTTGGCTTAGTGGGAAACCCAGCTGGAGAGTCACATAGAGTACTGGATAAACAAACCTCCCAGGCTACGGGGTAACTTGGGGTCCAGGACCAAGTGGAGTCCCAGAAAGTAAAATTTGTGGACCCCAGTTACAGCTCTTGACCAGAACATCTTTCCTCAGATGCCAATCCACCTGAATTCCTGCGTTCATAGAAATACTTTAAAAGAAATCCATCAAGAGATCTTGCCTCCCCTGCTACAACCAGATTTTTTATTAAAATCCAATTTTTCATATGCAGGAAGAGAAGTAGTTAAGTATTGATCAGTTGGACAAGGAAAGCCATTTTGATAACCAATTTCTGTAGTTAATGAACTGGATCAAAAAATTATATCGAATCTAAAGAGTACTCCTTAGATGTCTTCTATTTTCTGTTTTGAATTCAACCTTCATTTAAATTTTAAAATTTTAATTACCTTAAGATTGATTTCCTCACATGCTCAAGAAAATTTTAGGGGTGAGTAAATAATAGAAAGAAAGGCCTCCTCTGCTTTCCACATCACTTCTATTATTTGCTTCAGTCATTGCTTCTTCTACAAAGTTTTGAAAGATTGATTGCTCTGTATGAGATCAGGTATATCTCACTAGGATTCACCTTCCAAAAGAAGACCTTTGATGGGAAACTCTCCCAGGAGAGTTTGGATCTTCATTTTTTCTACCAGTATTGATGATGGTTAGGATGTGGGTCCTTTGTAAGTGATATAACACTAAGGATGGATGCCATTGCTTGACAAAAAGAGAAGGGAAAGGAGGAGACTAAAAGGCATCAATGGCTCCCCATATTTTTGGAATTGAGTACTATATCTTCGGTATCTACAAATTAATAAATCTATAGGTAAATGTCTACTGTTAATGACTTGTGCTAAACTGCTAGGGTTTCCCCGCCTTCTCCGATCTATTCATCAAGCTAGTTGTAGTTAGACTGTGATAACCAGTCTGTAGTATTCTGAAGGTACAGAGATTGCAGAATATGGCATCTGAACCCAATTGGACAAGGTAGGGTCACTTGGGCAAGTGTATCTACAGATTCCCCAGTGCCATGGCAGGAGAACAGACAAACAGGCATCCTCTTCCACTTGGGTTCCTATTAAAATCTTATTGAGTTGCCTAAGCCTCTGTGACCCACCGCCTCGATAGGGACCGAAGGCTGTTGGGATGTAAAGTTGAACACAAAACTACACCTCCTCTCCTTGGGAGAAGTCCTTTAGGCAGATCTAAGGATAACAGAAGGGCGATGAAGAGGGAAGGGAGTGGAAGTTACAGGTTGCCGGGCCCAGCCGAGTTAACGTTGGCTCTACCTGCAGCATCAATACGGAACTCACACCTGACTGCGGGACTATGTAAACAAATGATTCCATTTCTTGGTCATCTCCAATGGAGTTAAAAATAATTTTTCACCCCCAAACTCCATTGTTGTGGTCAGTCCTAGCTGGACTGCGTTGGGAGAGGAAGATGGCTCCTTTGATCAGACTCATGAATGGTAAAAGAAAAAGGGGTGGGGGCGGGAAGGGAGGGAAGAACCAAGAAGTAGAGGGCAATAAATTTAAGCCATGAACATGTCCCTATAACCTCTGGCCTGGCGACTCTAGGATGACACCCAGTTTAAATTACCAGAGCGGCTGAGGGAAGGGGGAGAGAGAGACCCTACTGCTTGGTTTGGGGAGCCTCCCTATCCCCTCCTTAATGAGTCAAAAAGCGTGAACGACACGCGAACAATTTTATCAATAGGACCATGTAAAGGCCGACTGTGAGGAAAGTTATTTATTAATATAGCCAATTGTGGCTGGTTCCCATCCCCCGAGAAAAGAAAGGCCCTGCTCTAGAAGCATTCACACCAGCTCGCCAATTTTTATTCTGTCCTGTGGCTCAAAGTTGAAGTTCCCCAAGTGAAATAAATTGCCCACAAAAGAGGAAAGGAACACATTTTCTTTTATTTTTCCTTCCCTAAAAAGCAAGGGTGAAACCAATCTAATGTGCCCACTGGAGCAAGATGCGGCATGAAAGGCTGGGTGTTAAAAGTAAAAGCAGTCTGTGGAGCAAATGGGATGGAAAATTAAATGAAATTAAATAGCTTGAACGACCGTATTGTCCCTTATTAAAAAGACACATTAATTACATGGTTTCAGCCTTATTCAAAGACAATGTTTAGACTCAATCAAAACATTCCACTATCGCTTTTTATAGACTTAAGCTGGGCTTCCCGAAGTACCATTAAAGCGAAATCACTTTTGCGGCCCAGCTTCGATGAAAGATATTTTACAAGCCAGCCCTTATTTATGCCCAGCGCTGAACTGCCCATGCCCCGGAGGAACACTCTGGCACAGTGTTCTTTTTGATTTAACAGGTTGCCCCATAATGAGGCATGAATGTTAAGGAACAACAGTCATCCAAAGAGGCACAGTTGCAGGGAGCAATGTCCCACCAGGGAGCTCCATTCAGCCCCTCAAACTGCTCCAGCCCCGAGAAGGTTCAACATTACATTCAAATCAGCATGAATGCCTGTAGACAGGGCCAACTGCATTGTGCCCGGGAGAAGCGTAGGAACAAAATGCTGCCGGCCTCTAGACAGTTCACCAAGCGAGATCCTTGCACTAGGGCGAATCCGGTAACTCTGACGCCTGACCTTAGGTCCTCTGAAGCGGTAAAAAGCGGAGCCCAAAGCTTCGAGGGTTCTTTCAGGCCGACGTGCCTCAAACAGAGGTGGCTTTGGAAAGGTTTTTCCTTCTTTGGGGATAGAATCATCCTGCTACCCACCCTCGCACCTGAGAGTTCCCTCCAAAGGCAATGGGCTCTCCTCGTTGTAATGCGGCCCTGTGCGAACGACCAAAAAAGGTCGTTGAGCAACCCAGTTAGTCTCTGAGCCACTTGGAAAAGGAGCCATCATTTCCCCCGAGCTCTTAGGCCCCTTTCCAGACCTCGAGCCGGAGAGAAAGAAGGCAGATGGCGAGGACCGCGGGCCTGGAGAGCCTTTGCATCCGGAAAGGGCAATAGTTTTGCTAGACGATCTGCTCTGAAGCTTCCTTTCCATCACATATTTGGGACGGACTCTAAATTGGCCTGGACGCTAAGTTTAGAAAAGTAACCCTTTCCCCACGGAGTGCCACTTTTCTTGGAACATGTTCCTTCTGATCTCCCCTGGTCTGGATTGTCCTGGAACCCGAGTCCCGTCCGGCTTCGAGGATCCAGCCTTCCCCCAACCAGCTGCGAGGCTCAGACTAGATGCGGGTGGGATATTAAGGCTGTTTCTGAATAGCCACGCCGCTTCTATGGGAATCCCACCAGATGACACCATCTCAATTTGGACATTTTATTCTTAATTGCAAGACTCCTTCGTGAGCCGACGGCAAGAACGGGGGAGGGGGGGTTGGAAAGGAGAGGAGGAATGGGGCACATCCCAGACTAGGTTTTAAAAGGGGAGAGGGGAGTTCATTGGAAGCGGCTCTATAAAGTATTCAGAGCCTCTATAAAGTTGCCTTTTAACCAGATTCCCTCAACGTATTTCTTGGTTCTTTCGGTTGACATGATGCAAATAAAAGTCAGTGAGCTTGTAGCTGAATTGAAATGTTTCGGTGTACCTTATAAATTCATACCTTTTCTCCCCGGATCGCCTCAGAATGAGCCCCTCACTCAATTCGATTTTCCTTGCTGCTGGGCACATTTAGCCAAGACTCTATTTGTGAAGTTCATTTCTAGGCAAATGTATTCAAGGGCTGATTGGGATGAATAGGACCGTGTGTCAGCCGCCCCTAATTGGGATTAAAGCACTTAGGACCATATGCAGAGAGTGACAGAAATTCTCAGGTTTCATTGTATTCAGACTTCCACCCGCTTGGACACTCCTCCCAGAAAAGAGATTTATAAAGATTTCAGAGAGAAACTGAGGAAAGAAAAGAGAGATGGAAAATAAGCGGGCTAATGTCTCTCTGTGGGCCTGCAGGACAGCAAGTGGTCATGACAGTTTCTGAGAAAGGATTATTAGAAAGAAAGATGCTAGGGAATAATTGAACTCTGGTGGGGGGGAACAGGTCTGAGCTCTTTCATGACA